CCGACAACTGCAGCGCAGTGGAGTAGTAAAAGTTCCGCCGATTGACAAATACTTTAATTCGTCCTAAAATGGCAAGGTTTCCGTATAGCCCCAAACATTAATTTTGCAAACACCAGGAGCCCATGCTTCTGGTCTCCTGTATACACCTATTGCTCAATGGAAAAAACCAAGGCTGGAAAAACTCACTGAAGCCTTGATACTGGGTAGCCACCTGTAAGGGGAAGTAATAATTTTTTTTCAGGGCACAAAAATACTGCTGAGAGTACACAGCAAGAGACATTAGAAAGAAGTGGAAAGTGGTCTACGATTAACTTCATCACAAGATGATTTTTTAACCCCCTTGATTCCTTCTGAAGAAAGAGGGGTGTGAGACCAGAATATTCAGAAACGGGGGCTGGTACAATTGCCAACTATATTGATACCTGCATTTATTTTACTAAGAAATCTTTTAAAACAATATTTCACAGAAAAAGGGGAAGCCACAGTCCCCTTGGCCCACCCCCTAAATTCCCTCAAGTGGAGGGCTTAGGTGCTTGAAAAGTCAGCCTTTTCTTTGTTTTAGGGAGTAATTATTTTTGTTGAAATTTTATATTCGGATCCCCCTTATCTCCCAGCCCCATAATGATTCTTTTCAAAAGCTCAATGATTCAAGTAAAAACACAACAGAACAGCTAATCAGACATATGTTGTAAAGAACAATCCACACAGTCTACAAGAACAGTTTTCTTAAAACTGACAATCAATTCACTTCAAAGGGCCATCGACAAAAGAGTAACTAACAGTCTTTAATGACCACAGCATGTTAGCGTTTCAGTCTTGTTTTAGTTTTAGCTGCTGTGAAATTCACTGTCTTTCTTGACCAATGCACATCCACTCTGGTAGCTATAGTTAAAGCTCCACAGATCGCGGTTCCATGTTTTTCAACTAAATAGCGTCTTATCCTCCTCATCCTTTGCTGATCCCATCTGCCATTGCTGGAAACAACATTGTCCTCTGCTCTTATTGGCTGATATTTGTCACCACAAAAGATAAATCTATTTGCCATTTTTGCAACGCCAATAACACACTTCATTTGCCCCCCAAATTGTGTGTATAATCATTGTTTTCAATAGGCCACTTTTGATATGTCAAAATTCAGTATAATAGTGAGTCTTAGGGGACACAAAGAAAAAGAAAATGAATAAACATGTTTTCTTTGTTGTGTCCTCCAAAACTTACTATCATACTGAATTTCGATATATCAAAAGTGGCTATTTCAGTTGGGATGATTGTACAAAACCTAGGAGAAATTGGAAACAACTGGTTATCTTAAATTTGGGGGTCAGGGGCACAAAATGTGTCAGCTACCACTGAGAAAATAGCAAACAAATTGCCTAAACACACTATGAAGTACCCTGCAGGCCTAACATGGGCCCATGCAGTATAAAGAAAGTTTATCACTGAAGATGCGTATTAGGCCAGACAAGAACTTACACTTTATAGGTAATGTAAAAGTGCAGCAATGGTGAACCTGGTCGATGTCTCTGTTTTGTTAGAATTTTTTGAGTTGACCCTTTAAGTGCACAACAGTGAACATGTACCGGCCATTCCTAACATTTTTAACTTTCTGAACAATAGAGACATCGCATTAATTTATTCAGTCACAATTCGTGAACAAAAACAAAGCACGGTTTGCNGGCCACTTTTGATATGTCAAAATTCAGTATAATAGTGAGTCTTAGGGGACACAAAGAAAAAGAAAATGAATAAACATGTTTTCTTTGTTGTGTCCTCCAAAACTTACTATCATACTGAATTTCGATATATCAAAAGTGGCTATTTCAGTTGGGATGATTGTACAAAACCTAGGAGAAATTGGAAACAACTGGTTATCTTAAATTTGGGGGTCAGGGGCACAAAATGTGTCAGCTACCACTGAGAAAATAGCAAACAAATTGCCTAAACACACTATGAAGTACCCTGCAGGCCTAACATGGGCCCATGCAGTATAAAGAAAGTTTATCACTGAAGATGCGTATTAGGCCAGACAACAACTTACACTTTATAGGTAATGTAAAAGTGCAGCAATGGTGAACCTGGTCGATGTCTCTGTTTTGTTAGAATTTTTTGAGTTGACCCTTTAAGTGCACAACAGTGAACATGTACCGGCCATTCCTAACATTTTTAACTTTCTGAACAATAGAGACATCGCATTAATTTATTCAGTCACAATTCGTGAACAAAAACAAAGCACGGTTTGCCACAGCACGGTTGTTTTCATTTTTGATGTATGCCGGCCTTCACAACGATTGCCCTCCGGCTACTAACAATATGCTCATATTGTATAAGAATTTTTTGAAACTAAACATGAAAGCCTCCACTTACACTGAAAATCTGTGCTTAAATGAGTGAATACTAGAAACACGAAGCCTCTACAATTTGCCCAGATGCCCTGTCTCTCAGCCTATGTCCTCCATGTGTCACAGGAACTCAGCGTCAAAGTCGTGATGAACTACTACTGCTACTACAACATCTAGTCTTCCATAAAAGACGAACTTGAGTGGAATATACAGCAAATAGAACTAAAATACTCGAAACCAGCTTTTAGCAGTTTTAACGGTCTCCACCACGATATGTTACTGAAGTGCTTGATGAATCACACCATGAATTTCCTGCTATGATGAACCGGTGCATGACACCTGAAAGCGGATAAAACATTTTGTGTCCAACGGCCGGGTATTTTGAACTTGCTCCCATTGCAGAGCTCAGGTGGAGTTTAACAATACAGAGAATTAGCTTTGCAATATCTTCACGAAACAAACCCCTCCAGCTAATGATACACCGATGACCCCAACAAGAAACAAAACGATCAGCAACTGCGCCATGTTTGACTTTGCACTCCTCACGCAAACGAACTGTCTGGGGACTGGGTCTAATCTAACAGTGATCGGCTGACTGACTGAGCGACTTGAGATCTGATTTTCGACCCTAGCCGGCACTTTCCATGAGTGGCGTAGTGAGATAGGAGCTATATACAGAGAACGGGTAGTGTATTGCGGCAAGAGAGGATAAAGGATCCTCTCTACAATCTGCGCGGTCAGAATGAAATATGGGCTGCGGAGGGGGGGGGGGG